GGGGGGGGATGCAGGATACCCAGCAACAGGGCTATTTTTGGGCAGGAACCCACAGGAATGGAGTTCCGGCTGGCTCCCGAAGTTGGCCACACCCAGCAGGAACTCATTAGCATAATAGGCCACACCCAACAGCAGAAACTCATTAGGACTGGCTACATTAGGGGTGTGTGGCCTAACATGCAAAGGAGTTCCTGCTACAAAAAAAGCCCTGCGTTTTGACAACAAACAAGGTAAACAGAATAAGAAGCAAAAGGTGGGTGTGGCTGGATGACCACACTTCTGGTAACACGGGGGTGTGGCCTAGTATGCTAATGAGCTGCTCTGTCAGGGGTGTGGCATACTATGCTAATGAGTTCCTGCTGCTGGGTGTGGCCTATTATGCTAATGAGTTCCTGCTGGGCTTTTTCTACCAAAAAAAGCCCTGCCCAGCAACAAGGGAAAATGCAAATGTGTTCCTCAGCACTGTCTGTTCCTTTAAAACACCTATACTCTTGCACTTGTAGCTAGGGATGGCAGCATGCAGGTGGAACCTGGGGATGCCCTGGAATTACAGCTCATCTCCTGACTACAGAGAGCAGTTCCCCTGGGGGAAAATGGACGCTTTGGAGGGTGGCCCAGTTGACAGTGTACCCCACTGAGGTCCCCGTCCTCCCCAGGCTCCATCTCCAAATCTCCGGGAATTTCTGAACTTGGAACTGGCAACCCAGCGCGCACACACACACTCCCAGTCCCCCATGAGTGGCCGGGGGCACCTGGCAACACCAGTTGTAGTGCATCAGTTAGTACAGACTTAGATGACGCAAACAATCCCAGGGAGGCTCGCAAGTTATCAGGATGTTAAGTGTGATCAAATGCTTGGTGGAAGAGCTCCGTCTCGTAGTTCCTCCAGAATCGAAGTCAGTTCCACAGGGCCCCTGGTGTCCTCATAGAGCTCATTTGAAGGAGAAGAAGGCACTCAGTAACAAGCCCTGCCTTACATTGGCCCCGCCTACTTTCTGAGAAGCTCAGACGGCGCCAAGGGAGGTACCAGTGGATGCTATCATGCGGAACGGAGACATAAACAGCCCTGCACATTATACGTAAATAGATTTATAGTGCTCATAAACAGATCTATATTCCTATTCTAAAAGCAGAACTATAGCACACGTTTTGGAAGAGCTAAATTTTTTGGAGTTGGGAACTGACGCCCTTTTCTATTGTTTTTTATAGTGTGTGGTTAATACAGTATCAGAGATAGAAGAAATAGACACGGACGTGGTTGTTAAGTAAGTATATGCCTAAAGCTTTGCATTGGCTTGGTGGGGAACTAAACAGATAATGCTTTTGGTTTGTTTTTTGATATGTAAATAATGGAGAACTGTATGCAGAACTTGGTAGTTGTGCGCTTTTCCCTGTTTCGTGCTCTTAGCGCGATTTCTGAATTTGAGCAAGTGGGGGGGCCATGAGGCTCATGGGGGGAGTCCTGCGCTGATTTGCCACCACTGTGGCCCCCAGGCTCTCTGGCAGCCACCGCTGGGCCCGATGCAGCCTCTGGTCTCTGGGCCACTGTGGACCCCAAGGAGGTTCCACCACGCTCAGGGAGGAAGAAATGAGCTTTTACTTTGCAGAGAATTTAAACCCCTCGTATATTTTTTTTGAAGATTTCAGATTTTTCGGTAAACTTCGGGGGGGGGGGTCACTCAAGTTTGCAGAAAAATCTGTTTAGTGCAAGTGTGGCCCCAATCCGCTGATTTCGGTATCCGCAGTACCGCTTCGGTGGGAGGGTAACGGCGTTCCGCGCGCCTCGGCGTTTAGTCATGCCGGCCACATGACCACGGAAAAGTCTTCGGACAGCGCCGGCTCTTCGGCTTGGAAACGGAGATGAGCACCGCAACCCTAAAGTTGGATTTGACTAGCTTTCGAGCAAAGGAAACCTTTACCTATTTTAGATAGGGGACATGCTCTGGAAGAGTGTATAGCAGTGGTGGCGAACCTATGGCACGGGTGCCAGAGGTGGCACTCAGAGCCCTCTCTGTGGGCACGTGTGCCATCGCCCCAGCCAGGCCCAGACCATCATTAAGGTGTCGAATTCTCTGCCAAATAATTTTAAGTAAATGAAAGCATTTGGGATTGCTTTCCTTACTTTGTTTGAATCATCTTAAGTTAATGTATGAGTTGTTTTTTCTAAAGTAAAACTTCAGTATTCAGGTTAAATTGCCGTGTTGGCACTTTGCGATAAATAAGTGGGTTTTGGGTCGCAGTTTGGGCACGCGGTCTCTAAAAGGTTCGCCATCACTGGTGTATAGATAGCATTGTTTTCTAATGATACTTGGCAACTGACATATTGGGGTGCGTGTATAATAGGCAAAAGGAGAATGGTGAAGAGGGAGATGGCAATTCTATTTTTATTTATTTATTTACACTCCAATCCTTGTACCTTTTTTTTTTTACAACCTTGTACATTTTTGCAACTAAGCAAGTTCCACCGGAATGTATGGGAACAAACTGAGAATGTTTCCATGTTTCCGAGTCCAGGGCTATGGCATGACTTCGGAAATGAGATCTGCCTAACTAAGTCAGTGAAAGCAAAGAGGGTGGAATGGGAGCAGTGCTCCCTCTAAGCTGAGTCAGTGTGAGCCAGCTCACCATTTTTTAGCCTCCGGCTCACACATTCTTTTGTCATGGCTCAGGAAGGAGGGCTCCAGAGCAAACTAATTTATGCAGTAGCCAAATCGCTCGCTCACCACTTTAATGCCAGGAGCTCACAAAGTAGAAATTTTGCTCACAAGACTCCACAGTTTAGAGGGAGCATTGAATGGGAGCATTTGTATTCTGTACAAGTAGTTAACTCAGATGGTCAGAATTAAGACGTTCTCTGTCCCCTGCTGGGTGAACTAGAAGCAGAAGCTTTGGCTGTTTCTAATTTGTAGCTAATGGACAATTAATTCAGTTGTTGAAAGTGTATTGCATTTAATCTGAAATATCCAGCATGACCATCTTGCTATAATTCTCCTGATGGACTAATTATATATTAGTCTGCTTACTTTACCAGATACTATTTTTAGTCCGGTAATGGATTTAACTGTTTTTTGTAGTTCTTCTTCATTTATAATTGCAGAAGTGTCTCTGGACAGTACCGGGGGGGAAGGGGACTCGGTATCATTTTAGCCTCCATCTTTGTTTCTTACTATCAGGGGGGGGAAATACTCCAATGAATCTTTCTTACTTTTGTCACCCTTCAGAGCTGTAATTGTTCCCCCCCCCCCTTTTTCCATTTTGTCAAGGAACTGTTTATTTAGTATTAATAGAAGTACAAGGGTAAAAGAAGAGATGCACCATAAGCACAAGCAAAGCTCTGGTATATATATATTTTCCAAATAAGAAAATACATATCATAACATCAAAATGTCATTTAAATTAAAAGCAATTTCATCATGAAACTCTCTAAGTAAAATGAGATAATCCCATAATTTATGCAAATCTCTTTTTATAATTTCAGTGTCACCCTTGAGAGCTGTAATTGTTTTTATAGCAACGTAGCCCTCAATTAGGAGCTGCGGTGGCTCAAGTGGTTAAGAGGCTGAACTGCAGGCTGTGGAAGGTCGGTAGTTCAGCAGTTTGAGACCCGAGTGTGCCACATGACGGAGTGAGCTCCCATCTCTAGTTCCAGCTCCTGCCCACCTAGCAGTTCGAAAGCAAGAAATTGCAAGTAGATAAATAGGTACCACTTCGGTGGGAAGGTCACAGTGTTCCGTGCACCTTGGTGTTTAGTCATGCCGGCCACATGACCACGGAAATGTCTTCGGACAGCGCTGGCTCTTCGGCTTTGAAACGGAGATGAGCACCACAACCCTAGAGTTGGACTCGACTGGCTTTCGAGCAAGGGAACCTTTTCCTTTTAGCCCTCAATTGGCAGATTCCATTTTAAAGGTGGTTTAAATGCTGAACCAATAGGATCCAGCGCCCTTTATAGATTTGAGCCTGGAGAGATTTGAAGTTCGGTGCAAAACCGGGTCCTAAAGCCGGGAAAATGTCAGTTGTTCTGTTGAAAAATGTAGGAACCAGTCAAATAAATTTCATTTTTAAATTTGTCCTCAATCACCCGTATAATATTATAAATCTGTGGCGTGATTCAAGTTGTTCTCATTCGTTAGCACAGTAACATAGTAAGGTCTTTCTTAAATCAACCCATTTTAATGATAGAGAAAGGAGGGTTAATAAGTACCTTGCAGAGGGAGGCTACAACTGAGAGCGAAGCTAGAGTTGGAACATAATGGTAGTAATTATCTCATGGAATTCTCCGCAGACTGGCCGATCAAATGAGGCTGATGAATTTTCCGCAGTGGTTTGATCTCCTGAAGAATATTTTTTCTAACTTTATCCTCTTCCTCAAGAGAATCAAGGTAAGAAACGTTCTGTGAATCATTAATAGAAGCCTTGTGTCCAGATCACGGGAGGTGGTAGTTCCGCTCTATTCTGCTATAGTCAGGCCTCGCCTGGAGTACCATGTCCAGTTTTGGGCACCGCATTTTAGGAAGGATGTTGACAAGCTTGAGCGTGTCCAGAAGAGGGCAACCAGGATGGTGAGAGGGTTGGAATCCAAGTCTTATGAGGAAAGGCTGAAAGAGTTGGGTATGTTTAGCCTGGGAAAGAGAAGGCTTAGAGGGGACATGATTGCAGTCTTCAAGTATTTGAAGGGCTGTCATGTAGAAGATGGAGCAGATGTTCTCTTGCTCCGGATTGCAAGACTAGATCTAATGGGTGGAAATTACAAGGGAGTCGATACCAGCTAAGTATCAGGAAAAACTTCCTAACTGTAAGAGTGGTTGAGCAGTGGAACAGACTGCCTCGGGAGGTAGTGGATGCTCCTTCGCTGGATGTTTTCAAGTGGATGACCATCTTTCGAGTATGTTGTTGGGCTATCTTTCGGCTCTGCTCCTGCAGAGTGCAGGGGGTTGGACTAGATGACCTGCAAGGTCCCTTCCAACTCGAACAGTCTATGATTCTATCTCTGCTGAAGCAGTCAAGGCCTGCTGCACTAGTTTCTGCTAACATGCCTTTATGATAGAACTATAAAGGAGCCGTATTACTGACATTTGGCCATTAAATTTCTAACTGCATTCTAGCTGTCACTACATGGCTGTTTCCAGTGTTATTTTTTCCTTCACTTTTGAGAAGGACGTTCCTTGAAAAATCAGTATGTGCCAGTAATATATTAAAATACACTGATTATTTCCTGTGATACTAATTACAATATATGTAATTGTTAAAAAATATATTGGGGCTTAATTTTGCTGAAAAGTTAACAGGTTTTTGTGATTGGTTCACTTTTAGATTCAGCAAATGGTGTTTTAGTTTCTGTTGTTGTCTTAAGAGTAAAAAAGAAATTCTGATCGGTTTACTTGGAGGGGCCATGGCTCAGTGGTAGAGCTGGTGCTTTGCATGCAGAAGGTTCCAGGTTCAGTCCCCGGCATCTCCAGTTGAAAATGCCAGATAGTCGGTGATGGGAAGAGATCGCTTCCCTAAGACTTGGGGTGTCAAACTCATTTGTTATGAGGGCCGGATCTGACATAAATGAGACTTTGTTGGGCCGGGCCGTGTGTGTCATAAAAGGTAATGCCAGGTAGTGGAGATATAAACTTTATAAAGGACACAAACACAAAGTTGTTGTTTTTTTACTTAAAATAAAAGCATGCTTAAAACAGTAGCACTCTTGCAATATTTTGTTTATTTAACGGTGTCTGATAACTGACACCTCTTGCTCTGAATTACTGCATCAAAATGTCTGTGCTGTTGCAATCTTGAGTGTGCTGTTCAGGCGCGTCTCTGTAAGCTGCAAACCTACGATGACGCAGCAGCAGCAGAACTGGAAGAAGCAGCAGAAGACAGCCAGTTCCACTGCGGGCCTGAGAGAAGCCCTCCCGGGGGCCTCATCCGGCCCCCGGGCCACTTGTTTGACACCCCTGCCTAAGACTCTGGAGAGCCGTTGCTAGTCTGAGTAGACAATACCGACTTTGATGGACCCGAGCGTCTGATTCACTAGAAGGCAGCCTCCTGCGTTCATGTGTACTTGTGTTGCTTTGTCGCTATTTGAGCACTATGGACGAATGAGAAGGTTTATAGTATAATCCTGGGCAGAGTTCCAACCTTTTGAGTCCATTGAAAAGGTGTAACACTGCTAAGGTTTGCACTGCCAGTTAACTTAGACCTCTGTTGAGCTTTTTCTTAAAAAACGAACAACCTGAAACTAGAGGCAAATATTTAACAGGTTAATTCGAATCACGATTTCAGGCTGTGCTTCCACCAACCTGCCACCTTTCTTCTCTAACGTTCACATGAAATTCTGTCCTTTCCTTTTCCTCAGAACCTAAGAGGGGTGTCTCTTTTGTTTCTACATGTCCCTCCTTGAGGACCCTGCATCTCACTCTGTTGCGTATTTCTGTCCTCTGCAGCAGCCTCACTTACTGAGCCCTTTCCTAACACGTTTATTATTTAGAGCCAGTTTGGTGTCGCGGTTAAGAGCACAGACTCTAACCTGGGAGAACCAGGTTTGATCCCCCCCCCCTCCACAGGTAACTTGCTGGTGTGACCTTGGGACAGTTATAAATTCTTTCAGAGCTGTTCTCTCAGGAGCAGTTCTCAGTCAGAGCTCTCTCAGCTCCACCTACCTCACAGGCAGTGTACCCTCTAAGCTGAGTTAGTGTGAGCTAGCTCACCGTTTTTTAGCCTCCGGCTCACACATTTTTGTCTTAGCTCAGGAAGGATGGCTCCAGAGCAAACTAATTTATGCAGCAGCCAAATTGTTCGCTCACAACTTTAATGCCGGTAGCTCACAAAATAGAATTTTTGCTCACAAGACTCCACAGTTTAGAGGGAACAGTCACAGGGTGTCTGTTGTGGGGAGGGGAAGGGAAAGGAGTTTGTAAGCCGCTCTGAGAGTCCTTCGGGTAGTAGTGATGGGCAGGGTCTAAATCCAATCTCCTCTTCTCTCTGTTCCATGTCACCGACTCAGTTCTGAATGTTGTTTAATCCTGGTTGCATACGGCTGATGGGAACTAGCTTTTTTCCACCTCTTTCTCTCAAATGAAGGGTGCTGAACATAATATTTTAGCTCTTTAAAGATCGACTTATCTTGCATGTAGAATGTGGTGAAAGTTCAGGCAAGAGGCATTTAGACTGAAAGTAGTAACTTGGTTTTGGGCACAGATCACATACTCCACCATGATAATCAAATTTTGGAAATAACAGTTGAGGGGCCTGCGGGGCATCTCATTTCCACCACACTGCCTTTTGTGGGGTAGCTGCTGTTGAACAGTAGTAAGCAGTCCTGGGAGACTCATGCAAGTTATGTGGTATCAAGTTGCCTGATGGTTGCTGCCAGGCCTGGCCGTAATGAGAATTTTCTTAAAGGCCAAAACAGCCCTGGGAAGGGCCCTGCCCCTTCTTCTACCTTTTACTCATAGAAACCAAGGCTTGAAGGCTGGCAATACTGTTGTTGCCTAGCAACCCCCACAATGGCCACTGAGGAGGGTATTAGTTTCTTAAAGCTGTAGGCACTGCTTCTATCATTTTGGAGGGTTTTAAATCCCCCTCTCCAGTTGTTACTGTTTTAAAGATTTCATATATTTCTTCAAACATTGGTCTTTTTTTAGGTTTGAGATTAATTTGAGATTGACAATAAGATTAATTTATTGTCTAATTATTACATGTTTGGGCCTGTATGTACAAATATTGCTTGACCACTGAAGAAGGCCACCTTGGCCGAAACGTGTCTGGTCACAATAGGTCCCGTTTGTGTATGTTGTACACTTTTATTCTGTAATGAGGCTACAATTGGGCCCATAATTGACGCCAGTTTGGTGTAGTGGTTAAGTGTGCGGACTCTAATCTGGGAGAACCGGGGTTGATTCCCCCACTCCTCCACTTGCACCTGGCTGGATGACCTTGGGCAAGCCCTGGTTCTGATAAGAGCTGTCCTTGAGAAAGAGCAGTTTCTGTCAGAGCCCTCTCAGCCCCACCTACCTCACAGGGTGTCTGTTGTGGGGAGGGGAAGGGAAAGGAGCTTGTAAGCCGCTCTGAGACGCCTTTGGTAGTGAAGGGCGGGGTATAAATCCAATCTCTTCTCTTCTCTTCTCCTTCTGATAATTACATATATTTTTGATCATATTTAAGTTATGATTATAGTTTTTAGTCATTGGCCCTTTACCTTGTATGCAGTATTTAAAACAGTAATATTCTTACTAAAATACGTTCTCACCCCCACCCCACAGGGAATTCAGGGTAACGTGCGTTTTTTAAAAAAAACAAACTATCTTTTATCCTAGGCAACACTAAATGTCATCCGCAGTGCCGTTCTCTTGGTTCTAGACAAGAACCAAAGGTGCAAGGAACTGGGGGAAGCTCCTGTACAGAAGAACGCGTCGAGGGAAAGTGCCGTGGACACGGAAGTGGCCTATCTGACCCACGAGGGCCTGTTTATCAGCGACGCCTTCAGTGGGAGAGACCTTCCACCCACAACCGCCGATTCGGTCTCTCCGAGAAACGTTTGCCCAGACAGCGAGCCCAGCAGCAGCGACTGTGTCTCTGAGCCCGAGTGTGCCACGGATTCCTCGTCAAGCAAGGAGCAGGCTTCGTCGGGCATCACACCTGCCGGAATCGAGACCATGTATGTAGTAACAGAGCCTTCATTCTGATCTCGGCCCAAACATCTGGAGAGTATTCCAGTCATATAACCTGGAGCTGGAACTAATCTAGGACTAGAGACCAATGTTCCCTCTAAGGTGTGGAGTCCTGTGAGCAAGAATTCTACTTTGTGAGCTACTGGCTTTAAAGTTGTGAGCGAGCGATTTGGCTGCTGCATAAATGAGTTTGCTCTGGAGCCCTCCTTCCTGAGCTAAGGCAAAAATGTGTCTGAGCCGGAGGCTAAAAAAACTGTGAGCTAGCTCACACCAACTCAGCTTAGAGGGAGCACTTCTAGAGACCCCAACAAGATTATCAGGATGTAAGTTTTGGAGAGTCAAAGCTCCCTTTGCCCAATACTTTGACTCTCAAAAGCTCATACCCTTGAAACTCTTTTTGGTCTCAAAGTGCTGTTGGACCCAAATCTAGAGTTGTTCTACTGTAGACCAAACATGGCCACACTCTGAAACTAATCTAGCCACATCAGTGCAGATTCACTCTGAAGATACGGAAGTTAACATTTGCCAGAATACAAGGAAGTCCTTCTTCAACCAAAGATAAAAGGAAGTCCTTCTTCACCCAAAAAGTGCTTAACACATGGAATTCACTGCCACAAGGAGGTGGTGACAGCTACAAGCACGGACGGCTTCAAGAGGGAATTGGATAAACATATGGAGCAGAGGTCCATCGGTGGGTATTAGCCACAAGGTATAGGTAGGAACTCTCGGCCTGGGGCAAGGGATGCTCTGTATTCTTGGTGCTTGGGGAGGGGGCAACAGTGGGAGGGCTTCTAATATCCTGGCCCCACTGGTGGGCCTCCTGATGGCACCTGGTGTTTTTGGCCACTGTGTGACAGAGTGTTAAACTAGATGGGCCATTGACCTGATCCAACATTGGCTTCTCTTATGTTCTTAGAATTCTTGAAATTTCAACTTTAAAATGGTTTTCAGAACTTGGGATATCGGGTTTTGTTGTGATCCTTCGGGACACTCTTTGAGAAGAGAAATGAGTTTCATTTCCTCGAGCAAGCAACAAAATTGTTTTATTTATTCTTATTTATTTATTTTATTAGGTTTGTATCCCACCCACCCCGCATGGCAGGCTCAGGGCAGGTTCCACCAATGACCATATACAAAACTTAAAAACAATTAAAGTACATCAGATAAAAATATAACACTATTCCCATGTGCTAATCAGTGCCTCAACAGATGAGGTTTTCCAGATTGGACTTCCTAGATGGTCAACGTAGGTCTGACCCGCTGAACGGGAGGCCCAATGGGGGGGGGACGCCCGCCACCTCAACTAAAAGCCTGGGGTAAGAGCTCCGTTTTACAGGCCCTGCGGAGCTGTAAAAGGTCCCACGGGGTCCTGAATTCATATGGGAGCTAATTCTGAAAAAGACCTGACCCTAGTCGAGGCAAGACGGACATCCCTGGGGCCAGGGGCAACCAGGAGATGCTGATTGGCAGATCGTAAAGCCCTTCGGGACTCATAGGGGGGTCTCGCAGAGGGTTTCCCAGAATGCAAGTCATTCATTTTCTCTTTCCTTTGAATATAGTGATATTAAATCTAATAGATGACATAACTGGGTAAGCTGTCACTTCCTTCCAAATCTTCATTTCATCTCCATTAAGAAATTGTCAGAAATGATTAGCTCGCCCATCCAATATATAAGCCTAATAGAAACCGCTGGCATCTGTTTTAGTTATCCCACATTTTTCATAGGTTCTTTGTTTCCTTGTGGATGTCAGTTGTGTAGTCCTGCTGCCTCTGCAGTCAAGCCATGTGTTTTTGTTCAATCAGCTGTTCACTGGGAGAGGTCTAGGGTGTGAATGGGTTATATGTTTCGCACATTAAATTTCCTCTTTCAAGTCTTGGCCCTTTTTGACAGCTCTTGCTTTGACCTGTGTATTTTCTCTCCCTGATCCCCTTCATCCCTTTGAGATAGGAAAGGACTTGTAGCCATTGATCATATTCTCGCTTTCCTTATGGGGAAGTTGTGTCAAACGGTGATGAGGGTCATTGTGCTTCATCACGGTGCCTCTTGGCAGAAAAAAGATTAAGAAAGAAGAAGCCGTGCTGGATCAGGCCAGGGGCCCATCCAACACTCTGTGTCACACAGTCGCCAAAACCCAGGTGCCATCAGGAGGTCCACCAGCAGGACCAGAACTCCAGAAGCCCTCTTTGTTTCCTTGTGGATGTCAGTTGTGTAGTCCTGCTGCCTCTGGGTGGGACAAGAACAAACTCTGCAGTCAAGCCATGTGTTTTTGTTCAATCAGCAGTTCACTGGGAGAGGTCTAGGGTGGGAATGGGTTGTATGTCTTGGCCCTTTTTGAGAGCTTTTGCTTTGACCTGTGTATTTTCTCTCCCTGATCCCCTTCATCCCTTTGAGATAGGCAAGGACTTGTAGCCGTTGATCGTATTCTCACTTTGCTTATGGGGAAGTTGTGTCAAACGGTGATGAGGGTCATTGTGCTTCATCACGGTACCTCTTGGCAGAAAAAGGATTAAGAAAGAAGAAGCCGTGCTGGATCAGACCAGGGGCCCATCCAACACTCTGTGTCACACAGTCGCCAAAACCCAGGTGCCATCAGGAGGTCCACCAGCAGGACCAGAACTCCAGAAGCCCTCCCAAGAACACAGAGCATCACTGCCCCAATCATAAGAACATAAGAGAAGCCATGCTGGATCGGGCAGGTGGCCCATCCTGTCCAACACTCTGTGTCACACAGTGGCCAAAAATACCAGGTGCCATCAGGAGGTCCAGCAGTGGGACCAGAACTCCAGAAACCCTCCCACTGTGGCCCCCCAAGCACCAAGAGTACAGAGCATCTCTGCCTCAGACACAAGTGTTCCATCTATACCTTGTGGCTAATAGCCACTGATGGACCTCTACTCCATATGTATATCCAATCCCCTCTTGAAGCTGTCTGCGCTTGTAGCTGCCACCACTTCCTGTAGCAGTGAATTCCACGTGTTAATTACTCTTGGGCAGAAACCAATTCCAAAATCGCTGAGCCCCCAGCAAGCCTCAGGGAGAACACGTGCTGCCTCTTGGCTAGTCAAACCACTGTGATAAGACGCTGACCAAAATCTAATAATTAAATAATAATAATAATTTAATAACCATATGTGTGATTGATTTTTACAGACCTAAAGGTGGCCCCTCCCCATCGTCTTGACTCCGCCCCTTGCAGGGCTCTGGTTAGAGCAGGGGTCCCCAGCCTCTTTGAGCCTGCTGGCCCCTTGGGGATTCTAACTCGGGGTGGTGGCCAAAGGAGGCGGAGCCACGGGGACATAGGGAGCCCGAGTGCGAGGGAGAGGTGATTTCTGAAAACATGTGGGAAAGAAAGAGGAGTGAGGGAGAATTAAACCAGCCCTCTGGCGGAAGCTGCAGTTGAAACGTCGTTTTCATATGCACAGCAGATCAGATCTCCAGGGGGCAGTCAGGAGCCCTGCTGAGCAAGAGCCCCACCAGCTTTCTAAAACCACTTGGTGGGCATCGGGAAAGGGGTTGGTGGGCACCAAAGTGCCCACGGGCACCATGGGACCCCCGAGTTATTGGATTTGCCTAGATGCCTGCATCGAGATACTGCTAGGTTCAAGGCTTCCCAAACAACATGAGAGAGGGTGAAGAGGAACAGACTTACATTTATGCTCGTCACGGACAGACCTTTTCACTTGCTGCGCCTGAATACAGCCTATATGCAGAAGAAGGTATGTGTAGAGGTTGTGAGTGAATCCTCTCTTCTTGCTGGGCGGTAGGTTGTCTCAGCAGGTTTTATAGGAAGGGTTTATTTTTATTTTTTTAAGAGCCCTTTTTTTGTGCTTTTCCAGGATCGGGGAGGACATGAAACTGTCTGAACTGGAACTAGTTAGACTAGCCAATAACATACAAGAGCTCCTGTACAGCGCTTCTGATATTTGCCACGACCGTTCAGTCAAGTTCCTCATGGCTAGAGCAAAAGTAAGTTCCGTGCTTAAGGGCCTGTGAAGAACACCCCTGAGGGGGGCCCCCCCAAGTAAAGATTCTGTTGGGGGGGCTGCAGACATCATCTAGAGCGCCCCCCCCCCCCCCCCGCAACCTTTTTGAGCCTGTAGGTATCTTTGGCATTTGGACATAGCATGGCGGGCGCAGGCACAAGGTAGTTTCCGCAAGATGGCTGCCACAAGAGGCAGAGCCAGCTACCAAACGGCTGCTGCAGTTTAGATTCAGTCACGCAATGAAGATCCCTGTGCTACGGAGGCAGCTGCTGCCAAAGCAGCGTTTTTAAGGAACCGCACAGCCAATCAGAAGCCTTGCTGGGCAAAAGTCACATCCGGCCCCACCCATTTTCCTAAAGCACTTGGCAGACTCCAGGACAAATGTCAAGTGGGCACCGTGGCACCCACGGGCACTATAAAAGCATAGAGCTGGAAGGGATCTCCGGGGTCATCTAGTCCAACCCTCCGCACAAGGCAGGAGATTCACAGATACCTTTCCCCCCACACACGCCCCCAGTGACCTCCCAGAAGATGACAAAAAACCTCCAGGATCCCCGGCCAAACTGGCCTGGAGAAAAATCACTTCCTGACCCCAAAGTGGCGTTTGGCATTTCCCTGGGTGTGTAAGAGAGGGCCACGAGACCTAAGCACTGAGGCCACCCTTCCTGCCCTCCCTTCTCGTGATCTGCCTCAGTTCACAGAATCCACATGGCTGTCAGATGGTCATCTAGCCTCTGCTTAGAAACCTCCAAAGGAGGAGAGCCCACCACCTCCTGAGGAAGCCCGTTCCACTGAGGAGCCGCTCTAACCGTCAGGAAGTTCTTCCTAATGTTTAGCCGAAAACTCTTCTGATTTAATTTCAACCCGTTGGTTCTGGTCCGACCTTCTGGGGCAACAGAAAACAACTCCGTGCCATCCTCTGTATGACAGCCCTTCAAGTACTTGAAGATGTACTATGCTGGGTGTTGTGTATGCTGACCACCACTGGGAAGACAGCGAACAGCCAGAGCTTGACTCTGGAAGAACAATAGGGACTAGGCTCCTAGTCCCTCCACTGGGGAACCAATGGGCATCGTGGCGGGAGATTCAAACCCACCAACGGGGTCCAGGGGTGTGTCCCTGGAGTGTATATAGTTGGCCCACCGGCCGTTAGTGAGTAGTCTTGTTGTGTACCAAATAAAGCGTGCTTTGCACCATGCTGGTCTTTGTCCTTCGTCCATGCGGCAAACCTACTACACAATACTGGGGACCCCTGATCTAGAGCCAGCCCAGACATTGTATGAAAACAAATGGCATGTTGCCCATCTTCATCCCCCCCCACCCCCGGTGATCAGGGCTCCTGGGGTGTTACCCCGTAGCCCCCTCCACATCAGGAGACTTAAGTGATGAGAAAGAAGCTCCCCTTTTCCATTTCTAAAAGTAACCAAGACAACTATTTCCATCATCTTTGCTTTTCTTTTCAGGATGGCTTCCTGGAGAAACTGAACTCTGCAGAGTTTGTTGCTCTTTCCCGACTGATGGAAACCTTCATCCTGGACACGGAGCAGATCTGTGGTAGGAAGAGCATGTCACTGCGCGGTGCGCTTCAGAGTCAAGCTAACAAATTTGTAAATAGATTCCACGAGGAGAGGAAAACGAAACTCAGGTATCTTTCTGCATGATGTGTTATAGTGCAGTGCAGATTTTATAACCCTCCCTTCTAATAAGTGAGATTGATTCTAAATTGTTTTGGTACAAAGATTCCTCATTTGACCTGATATATTTGGGCCTAGAGAGGATGTTCTTTGTTTAGATTTGATTCACTTTCTGTGTTTTGCGTTTTACACAATATCTTATAGTCTTTATAAAAGCTTCGGCCACGTGCATTTTGAATCCCACTGTCAGTCACACATCATAAGAACATATGAGACGCCAATGTTGGATCAGGCCAATGGCCCATCCAGTCCAACACTCTGTGTCGCACAGGGGCCAGAAATACCAGGTGCCATCAGGAGGCCCACCAGTGGGGCCAGGACATTAGAAGCCCTCCCACTGTTGACCCCCCCCCCCCAAAGTACCAAGAAGACAGAGCATCCCTTGCCCCAGAGTCCCTATCTATACCTTGTGGCTCAGAGCCACTGATGGACCTCTGCTCGATATGCTGATCTAATTCCCTCCTGAAGCTGTCCATGCTTGTAGCCGCCACCACTTCCTGTGGCAGTGAATTCCATGTGTTAATCACTCTTTGGGTGAAGAAGTACGTCCTTTTATCCATTCTAACCCGACCGCTCAGCAATTTCATGGAGTGCCCACGAGTTCTTGTTTAAATCTGTAAATCTGATGAAAGGAGCGCTGGCACTCAAAAGTTCATATCCCCAAAATCTTGTTGGTCTCTAAGGTACCCGTAAAGGTGTTGGGCACCGTGTTGGAGACACCTGGGTTAATGGCACCTTCCACATGTCCTTTTAGAGGAATTGAACAAAACATTTAAAGGATCTGTAGAGGCCCTGACCTGGATAGCCCAGGCAAGCCCGATCTCATCAGATCTCGGAAGCTAAGCAGTGTCGGCCCTGGCTAGTCCTCGGGTGGGAGACCTCCATGGAATACCAGAGGCAGGAGGCAGGGGGCAGGCTTTATTCAGCCGCCTCCCTGAATATCCTTCAGGCCCCAGTAGAAGTCAGTCACCAGCAGCGTTCCCTCTAAGCAGTGGAGTCTTGTGAGCAAAAATTCTACTTTGTGAGCTACTGGCATTAAAGTTGTGAGCAAGCGATTTGGCTACTGCATAAATTAGTTTGCTCTGGAGCCCTCCTTCCTGAGCAAAGACAAAAGTGCGTGAGCTGGAGACTAAAAAACTGTGAGCTAGCTCACACTAACTCAGTTTAGAGGGAACACTGGTCACCAGAGGTCGCCACAACTTCCGGTTGTACACACACTCACACATATGCACATATGAAAAATACAAAAAATAAAGGATCTGTAGAGATTTGTTAACCTGTAATTTGGTCTACGTACATTACTATAGTTTTCCAGAATCCCTTAGAACATGTCCAAAAGGCATACTTAAAATCTGCATGTGGATTTCTGTGACAGTGAGCACTGCGGTCTAGAACACAACACCGCCTCCCCCCCCCCCGGGGCCTAGGGACGCCAGGTTGGCGGTAACCAGGACCAGGGCGTTCTCCCTGGTGGCGCCAACGCTGTGGAAAGAGCTCCCCAATGAGATCAGAGCTCTACGGAACCTCCAGCAGTTCCATAAAGCTGTGAAACCTGAGCTGTTTCACCAAGTGTTCAAATAAGAACTGACTGCACCAGTTGGGTCGCACTAGCACTTTACCATAGGATGCCGTCGTATTTATTTAGTTTTATTGTATTTATTGTATTTTATATCTTGTATTCGTTGTTTTAAATGGTAGCAATCCAATAAATAAATAAATAAATTATCATTAGCAATTTTGTTTATTAGTTTATTTATTTCAGTTTGTATAATGTTAGGTGCCACTGATAGTTAATCACATATATGTTTTCTCTTAGATTTGCTGCCTTTAGATAAGAGGTTTGACCCCAAATTCATTTCCATTGTTACTTAGAAACTGCATGGCAGAACAGTTTTCTACCCATAATTATCTGTCTTTAAGTATTGGAATCTTGAAAGCCTATCATTTTCTCGGTGCCCATTGGCAAGTGGTGCTTTCACTTGACAGTTGTGGTAGGTTTTACTGTACAGTGCTGTATTTTACTAGGGCCAGTATGTTAGTCTCCTTGGCTCAGAAGTCCTGGAACCAACACTTCCGTCTGAAGCCCAGGTTCACACCTGCAGGGTTGACCATATGTGGGTGTGGGCGCTTAAAACATCACACAGTTGCCAACCAGTTCCTCTGGACGGCCAAAAACAGGGCATAAAGGCTGATGCGTTCATTAGAACATAAGAGCCCTGCAGGATCAGACCAGTGGTCCATCTTGTCCAATATCCTGTCTCACACTGTGGCCAACCAGTTCCTCTGGACAGCCGACAACAGGCGATAAAAGTTGATGCATTCATAAGAACATAAGAAGAGGCCTGCTAGATCAGACCAGTGGTCCATCCGGTCCAGCATCCTATCTCACACAGTGGCCAACTAATTCCTCTGAAGGGCCAACAACAGGGCATAGAGGCCAAGGCCTTCATAAGGATATAAGAAGGGGCCTGCTAGATCAGACCAGTTGTCCATCTAGTCCAGCATCCTGTTTCACACAGTGACCAGCCACTGGAGAGCCAACAACAGGGCATAGATGCCAAGGCCTTCCCCTGATGTTGCCTCCTTGCACTGGGATTCAGAGGCCAGTTTGGTGTAGTGGTTAAGTGCACAGACTCTAATCTGGGAGAATCGGGTTTGATTCCCCACTCCTCCACTTACACCTGCTGGATGACCTTGGGCAAGCCATAGTTCTGTCAGAGCTGTTCTTGAGAAGAGCAGTTTCTGTCAGACCTCTCTCAGCCCCACCTACCTCACAAGGTGTATGTTGTGGGGAGGGGAAGGGAAAGGAGTTTGTAAGCCGCTCTGAGACTTCCTTGGGTAGTGAAGGGCGGGATATAAATCCAATCTCTTCTCTTCTTAGTGCCTCTGAACATGGAGGTTCCCCTCAGCCACCATGGCTAGTAGCCACTGATAGACCTATCCTCCATGAATCTATCTAATACCCTTTCTAAAGCTGTTTATTCCAGTGGCCATCACTAGTAGGGATGGGCACGAACCAGGAAGATGGAGTTTCATCCCACTTCATAATTCATGAGGTCAGACGAACCTGCTTGCAAAAGCCATTTAAAGAGAATGTTCCCTTTTGCAAGCCATTTCAGTGATGCCTCTTGCTTCCCCCCTCCCCCACTTCCCACCACAAACCCCACCAACCTCTGAAACCACTTGGAGAGTCATGGATAGGGATAGGCACGAACCTCTGATTCACAAACCACAAATCAGTGATGTCCGTTAGGAAATTCGGTTCGTAATGTGGTTCGTGCCCATCTCTAATCACTGTATCTTCTGGCAGCGAATTCCACATTTTCATCACTCTTTGTGTAAAGTAGTATTTCCTTTTGTCCCAAATATGTTGCTTCAGATTCCCACTTACTGAAAAAAGTCTTTTGCCAGCGGAGGGGTCTTGAGAATGTGCCTGCCACCAGTTAATGTTTGCAGCTATTGAATCTTTTATGACTGCCGCTCTTGTGATAAATTCTGAATTGGGAACCACCAGGGGAAGACTTTTAAGGCAGTGCGTTTTGTGTTTGTAACCTCCTTTCTTTTTTTGTTCTGTAACTAGCCTCCTCCTAGATAACGAGCGCTGGAAACAAGCCGAGGTTCCGGCAGAATTTCAGGATCTCGTTGATTCTATATCAGATGGCAGAATTGCTTTACCGGAGAAAAAAACAGGAGGTGAGTCTCATTGGTCTTTCTCTCTCCCTCATGTAATGGTACGGTGAAGATCTGTTGTGGCAAAATGTTGGCAGACAAGCCGGCTATTCAGTTTCTGAATTCACACAGGGTGAGGCTGTTTGCTTCTGTAGCAGGACAGGCGAAAAGTGAATATGCTTTTTCAGCCCTGGCCCCCACCTGGTGGAACTCTGCCGGAAGACATCTGTGCCCTGCAGGAATTTTTACCTTTCCGCATGGCATGCAAGGCAAGAGATGTTCCGCCAGGAATTCGGTTGAGGACAGAGGCGGGGATAGTAGGACATCTGACGCTCTCATATACATCTTCTTCGTGGTCTCTGTGCATCACACCCTTGGGATACTCTGCGCCTGCGCTGACCTTCTCGGTACCGATAGCTAGCAAAAGGGATTTTCGCGCCTCTCCCAGGTCACGCGCCCAAACTAAAGAATTTTGCATATCTTTCTGTTGTAAGCCACCCTGAGCCGTACCTGTAAGGAAGGGTGGCCTAGCAAATCAAGTTTGCTGCAACCAGGGCCAGGGCTTGCTGCAACCAGGGCCAGGGCCTACTCAGTGGCGGCTCCTGCCTGGTGGAATGAGCTCCCGGAGGAGATCAGGGCCCTGCGGGACCTTGTACAGTTCCGCAGGGCGTGCAAGACGGAGCTCTTCCACCAGGCTTTCGACTAGGAGCCACCACTACTACCACTACCAACGAGCCCGGCTGATAACTGGGAACGGAGCGGCCCTAGGACGATTGAACTTCAGTGGCGCGGCGAATCGGTACCGTTGTACTGGGACGGAGGCCAACATCTACTGGGCACCATCTTGTCTTAATTCAAGAGTAACAGCATTGAGCTCTTTATGTAATTTTTGGTCATTCTGTTCTATCCTGTTTTATTCGGTTTTTATGTATTGGCCCATGGTGCCCCTGTTTGTTAGCCGCCCTGAGCCCATTCGTGGGGAGGGCGGGGTAGACATTTAAATAAATAAATAAAATAAAATAAGTTTAACAAATAAATAAATAAAAGTAGGTGTTGTGGATCTAAAATGTTGCTTTAACACACACGAAGCTGCCCGAGTCAGAGCTGAGTCAGCTAGGCTGAGGCAAGGAGCGGAGAGCACATGGTGAGTGGCCTCATACGGAATGAGACCCTGTGTCCATCAAGGTCAGTCTTGTGTACTCAGACTGACTGCGGCTCTCCAGGGTCTCAGGGTCTTAACTTTTAGGAGCCCTTAGGTTACCGAGAACCCATTCTTGGTGTGGTTGATCTGCCTCAATACCAACCAACCAACCAACGCCTTTTATTGGCATATAAATAAAGATACAGTAATCTAAATAACAAAGTCATGCAGAGTAAAATTAAAATTGCAGAGTAACATCACAGAGTAACATCATCATAAAACCTAATTCATAATATCACTTATCAGGCCGTAGGACCATGGCACTGCAGAGAAACGTTGCTACTATTTCAGTTATTTCTGTATCTGGATTATCGAGCAAGAAAAGGGGCTTAAGATCATCAGGGGCAATGTTCCCTCTAAGCTTGTGAGCAAAAAAATCTACTTTGTGAGCTACTGGCATTAAAGTTGTGAGCGAGCGATGTGGCTGCTGGATAAATTAGTTTGCTCTGGAGCCCTCCTTCCTGAGCTAAGGCAAAAATGTGTGAGCTAGAGGCTAAAAAACTGTGAGCTAGTTCACACTAACTCAGCTTAGAGGGAACACTGAGATTCAGGGTCTCTAAAAATTGGCCTAATATGGGATATAGGAGATCCCGACGGGACGCCAGATAGAGCGGGCACTGGAGGAGGACATGGGCGACAGTTTCAACACAGTCCTTCAGACTGCTAGGATAGGGAATCCCTTGGAATTTGCCAGATAAGATAGGTGAAGAACATTAAATCTAGCCAAGGAGATGGCTCTATGCAAATTTGGAGCTATGAGTTGATAGAGGTATACTGCTGGAAGATTTGCATTCTCTGCCTCAATACAATTAGTGGCTGGTTCTACCTTCTGTGTGGGGCCTTCAGAAGAGGCGAAGAAAGCAGCCGTCAACAGCGCTGAAAGTGAAGCGTCTGACCCAGGTCCGTAGCTAGAGTGGGGCACCTCGGGGCTAGGCCCCCCGACTTACTTGCAAGGCCCCACGACTTCCCATCCAGCTCAGGGCCCCCAAGCGGCGGCAAGTGCGGGGAAGGAGCCGGGTATTCCTTTAATTCAATTAGCCAGTGCCCCCTAAGAAGTTTAAATGCCCCCTGACTTTAAAAATCCTGGCTACGGGCCTGGTCTGACCTGTGAACTACAGCATCTGACCTAGAAGTGTTGACTCTCCGTGGGGAGTAAATAGACTACGGGGCAATCTGTGCCATTATTCTGGTCCAAGTCTGTGGAATTCAGTGGGTATAGACCACAGTAATTCTTCATGGGATTGCACTGTGAATGGTGTTGCCTTCTCAAAAGTAAATGGAAGTTTGAACATCAGGGCTGCAAAACAGGAAAACGAAGAATTGAAAACGAATGCTTATCATCACCCCCCCCCTCCTTTTAGATATTAATAATGTTCTTAAGATTGCTTTTAGTTCTAGATTTTTTCTTTCTTTTTCCTACCATTGTTTAGCTCCTGAAGAAAGAAAGCCGACGGACTTCCTTGTTGTCGACGGTCATAAATACGCTGTAGTTGGGTAAGATGTGCTAGTTGCTAGATGTGCTAGAGCCAGTTTGGTGTAGTGGTTAAGTGCGCAGACTCTAAGCTGGGAGAACCAGGTTCGATTCCCCACTCCTCCACGTGCAGCTGCTGGATGACCTTGGGCAAGCCATAGTTCTGACAAGAGTTGTCCTTGAAAGGGCAGTTCTTGAAAGAGCTCTCACAGCCCCACCTCCCTCACAGTTGTGGGGAGGGGAAGGGAAAGGAGATTGTAAGCCGCTCTGAGACTCCGAGTGAAGGTCGGGGTATAAATCCAATATCTTCTTCTTCTGCTCCCCCCTCCCCCGCTTCACTGGGCTTGAATTATCGATTTGCTTACTGGAAGGTAACATCACCCAGGCCTCTTGCATATGACTGTTGCTTTTCCAAGGACCTTCTGCACAAAATGTCATATAAAGGCAGCCGGGGGGGGGGGGCGTGCAGCAAGAGAAAGGATTTGGGTGGAATTGTCCCTTCTTGTTTCACTGGGCGAAGCAAACTCTTGACCAGTGCGAGGTGTGTGTGTGGGCGGGACGGTGGTGCTTTCTTAGCAAAGTTAGCAAAGAGCATGAGGAGGCACCGTACGTTTTGAGGGTCATTATCGGGCTGCCGTGCGGTCTAACCTGGGACGTGTGCCGCTTTCCCTTACAGGACCGTGTTGCTGCTGATAAGAATCATCCTGGAGTACTGCCAGTGTGTGGATAACATTCCTTCCATAGCTACTGACATGCTGACTCGTCTCTCCGATTTACTGAAGGTACACCCCCACCCCCGGATCTGTCCTAAAATGCAGGGAATGGCAGGGAGCCTTTAACACAGTGTTGCGGGTTGTTTTGGTGTCGTGGTTAAGTGTGCAGACTCCAATCTGGGAGAACCGGGTTTGATTCCCCACTCCTCCACTTGCACCTGGCTGGATGACCTTGGGCAAGCCTTAGTTCTCATAAGAGCTGTTCCTGAAAAAGAGCCGTTTCTGTCAAGAGCTCTTTCAGCCCCGCCTACCTCACATGGCGTCTGTTGTGGGGAGGGGAAGGGAAAGGAGATTGTAAGCCGCTCTGAGACTCCTTTGGGTAGTAAGGGCGGGGTATAAATCCCATCTCTTCTTCTTGGTGTCGTGGTTAAGTGTGCGGACTCTAATCTGGGAGAACTGGGTTTGATTCCCCACTCCGATGACCTTGGGCAAGCCGTAGTTCTGATAAGAGCTGTTCTTGAAAAAAGAGCAGTTTCTGTCAGAGTTCTCTCAGCTCCACGTACCTCACAGGGTGTCTGTTGTGGGGAGGGGGAGGGGAAGGAGTTTGTAAGCCGCTCTGAGACTCTTGAGTGAAGAGCGGGGTATAAATCCATTCTCTTCTTCTCCTTTTTCACTTGCATTCCTGTGAACCCTTCAATTCAGCCCCGTAATGGTCACGGTGCCCTGACCCGGATGGCCCAGGCTAGCCCGATCTCGTCAGATCTCAGAAGCTAAGCAAGGTGGACCCTGGTTAGTCACTCGGATGGGAGACCACCAAGGGAGTCCGTCCAGGGTTGCTACGCAAAGACAGGCAGTGGCAAAACCACCTCTCTGAACGTCTCTTGCCCTGTTCTGGGTGGCTGGCCTTCTCAAATCTTAGAAGCTAAATATGGATTCATAGAATCATAGAGCTGGAAGGGGCCTCCGGGGTCATCTAGTCCAACCCCCGGCACAATGCAGGAAATTCACAAATACCTGTTCCCCGCCCAGAAGATGGCAAAAAACCTTCAGGATCCCCGGCCAAACTGGCCTGGAGGAAAATTGCTTCCGGACCCCAAAGTGGCCATCAGCATTTCCCTGGGGGTATAAGGAAGGGCCCCGAGTAGCCCAGTCTTCTTAGACCTTGGAAACTAAGCGGGATCGGCCCTGGATTAGTATTAGAATGGGAGACCACCAAAGAAGTCCAGGGTTGCTACCCAAAGGCAGGCCATGGCAAACCACCTCTGAACGTCTCTTGCCTTGAGAAACCCATGAGGGGGTCGCCATAAGTCTGCTGTGATTTGACAGCAAAAAACAAAAAAACAAAAAGGATCCTTCTGTGTGTCGCACAAATGGAGGGGTTGGTGGCAATGTTCCCTCTAAGCTGAGTGAGTGTGAGCCAGCTCACAGTTTTCTAGCCTCCGGCTCGCACATATTTGTCTTCGCTCAGGAAGGAGGGCTCCAGAGCAAACTGATTGATGCAGCAGCCAAATCGCTCACTCACAACTTTAATGCCGGCAGCTCACAAAGTATAATTTTTGCTCACAAGACTCCACAGTTTAGAGAGGGAGCATTGGTTGATGGGTAACAAGTTATAAACCATCTACAACATTTGGTTATGGGTTTTCACTGAGCTACAGGACCGATTTCCTATTCCACCGCTCCTCGTTTCCCCTCCACTCCTCCGTTTCATCTCTTCCTCCTCTTAGTTCTCTCCCTTAATAACTTTTTTCGTTCCTTGCATTGCCTTTCTCATCTCCTTAAATCGTGTCCTATGGCTAAAGCGGGAGGGTGGGGTGGGGGTGCAGAGCATCGTTTTGCCCGCAGTTCCTCGATCAGCCAGATCAGAGGAAATTGGCTCACAGGGGGAAACCATATAGTGGCCAGGAGGTGCATGATGCTGTGTGGGGACAGGCTGCTCCCCGTTTGGGGGGAACCTGTGTGTGTAAGCAAACCTAGGCCTACAGGTAAGAAGCAACCCAAATAATGTGGCGGTGGAAGGTGCTGTCAGGCCACAAGTGACGTATGGCAACCCTGTGGGGATTTTAAGGCAAAAGACGTCCAGAGGTGGTTGGCCATTGCCTTCCTCTTCATAGCAGCCCTAGATTTCCTTGGTGGTCTCCCATCCAAGGACTAAACAGGGCAGGCCCATAGCCACGGTGGGGCTTTGGGGGGCTCGGCCCCCTTTCTTAAAGGCACAGCCCCACAAGAATTTCTTCTGTGAATGCTTTGTTCACTCGCTTTAAAACATTTTTTTGAAAAGGCACACACTCCTTTAAGCAGACTGGGATGCTGTAGCTAATTCCCGCACTGAGCAAGGGGGTTAGAGTAGGTGACCTCTAGAATCCCTCCTAACTCTGTGTCAAGAAACTGGTCTCCTTTAAGAGAGTTCTTCTGCCTAAGTGTTGGCTTTCTTGAATATAGAAGTCATCACACACACACACCTGCCGGCTTGTTCTCAGGATTGTTGCTTAGGCTGGCAGACATTAACTTGCAGCAGCTGAGAACTGTCATCTCAAGTGGTTGACAGCTTGCAATTTAGAGATCTATCCTGGTAACCACTTTCTAACGGCTAAACGGCTTTTCTTTCTGCACTGAGAACTTCAGCCCCACCAGAAAAAAATTTGCCCCACAAGCCACCGAATCCTGGCTACGGGGCTTGAAACAGGGCTGACCCTGCTTAGCTTTCGAGATCTGACAAGATTGGGCTGTCCTGGGCCACGGTCCTGTGGTAGACCGTGCTGACCCCAAAAATGACGTACTGCAGAGCCATGTCTAGCTTGTGGTGGTCTGTGGATGGGTGTCGGACACTGCTCAGCTTTTTGACGCTTGTCAGCACTAGAGATGTAAAATTTCCGGAAATTTTGAAGCTCGGGAAAAAAAACCGTCCCCC